TAATATTGCTGGTCTGGGTTATGAGGGGTATAAGTCTGATGGCCAACCCGTATTGAGCAAGCGTGGTGATTAATGTTCAAACCTTCTCTGTTTGAGAAAAGGCCTTTAGTCGCGAAAATCGCGGCTTACTCACGTGAATATACTGAGAAAAGCTCTACTAGTTTCGAACCACAGAGGGGTTCTTCATCATGAGCAGCGTGCGCGGTCGCGGTGACGTTGCACAGCTCACTAGTGAGTAACCCGCGATTTTAGTTGATTTAGTATGTTTCACGATAGTTATTATAAAAACATTTTGGTTTTTGTCAGAATTTTGTCACGTGTGGTAACGATAGGATATATTAGTCACCACTTTGTTTCTTCTAGCGGTTATCGTGAGGGCCAATTCACAGAAAATGATTATCAGCGCTTTCTGATAAACCTGAACCTTTTAACATAGACCTCCAATTCTGTCTAACGTAGATATGTATAGGTATGGAATACGTGGCTTAAAAACGTGGGCCCATGGGTAGTCTCTGCTTGTACCTTTTTATGAGGATGACTGATTGATTTGTGTTTTAAGGGCGGTAATTGTAATTAGGTGAATTACGACCAATTTTTGACACATCTATCTGGAAAATGCTCTCGTGGCTTAAGGGCCCATGGGTAGTTTCTGCTTGTACCTGTTGATGAGCATGACTGGTTGATCATAATTTTGTGATTTTAGTGTTAAGGGCGGTAATTGCCATTAGGTAAATTACGACCATAAGAACTTTAAAGCAGGCGTTTTATTTTTGACTAGACTCGCTTTAACTTACACAGTATAATATTGTTACGTGAAGCAATTTCCATTTGTGTGTTCTTTTCGTCCTTTATTAGAATCGTCGAGAGACTTTCGTACATAACAAAGTACTTTTACGAGTTTTCGACAGCCTACGCAACATCTGTCAGCTGTACAAAGTCAAAATATTCTTTTTAGTCACTCTAACAGGAAAACAACATTTTCTGAAGCGAAAGTTTCGAACGTGAACATTTATTACAGAGAGGTATTAAAGTTCAACTTTCCATCACAAAGTACCTAACAATCTCATTTAAAATTCGAACGTGGAACAGTGAATTGAATATTGAAACTTTTTTTATGAGATTGGAATACTTTCAGAACTTTCAAACAGCCTATGCCTACACAGATACAAAAATATATGTGAAAAGAGGTTGCAATAAGAATTACCGGTTTTTTGCTCACCTGGCCTGACTGGCCCCTTTTTTGAGGGGGGAAAATCATCCAATGACTTTTCTCGTCTTGGGTACGGCGAGAGTGTCAAGACTCTTACTGACTAAAACCAGCCTGTTCCTATTCTTATTTCGAACCGGAGCCCCGGCAGCCCGTATAATGAGGGATCATTAGCGATTTTTCCATTTTGAAAGAATATTTCCTGTTCCATCCAAGAATCCAAGTGATTAACTTTATGATAAAGCAGCCATTAAATTATAGAAATGTGCGTTTATTTGCATAAGGTCATATTTGATAGTTATCGTTTGAGGATAAATAATTTTTCTCTCTATGTTAGGTTTATTGTTTTCGATCCTTGAATTTTAATGGCTAACATATTAAAACAGATATATGAATGTTATCCTTAAAAAAGCGAACGCTTTTAAAAAACAGAACTTGAATAATTTTGTATATGGAACAGAACCAAGACTGCTAAAAGTTTCTCTTGGATGCACATTCATAATTCATAAGGATCATACTCAACCCAGGTTTTTAAGGGCAACGAGGCAAAGAGGTCGCGTTAGCAATACATTAATATGAGAGCAATAGAGTCTCTTTTAAAAATGAGTTTAATCTTTTTATGGAACGAGAAGTCGATGATCTAATGGTGCTTAAGAGCTGCCTGTGGTTATCCGCAACACCAGAAGAGTGACAAGTGCGTTGCTGGCCCTTGAGGAACGAGCCTACACTCATACAGTGAAACACGACGCAAGCGAGTAGGAACGGGATGGTTTTTATTCAGTAAGAGTCTGACACTCCGTTCCGGCTCTCCCATGAGAAGTCATTCGATGACTTTTCCCCCTTAATAAAGTAAAATAAAAACAGCGTTATTTTACGCCGGTCTAGTGTGAGACCGTGGCAATCACAGAAATATTAAAAAAGGTGGCAATACTCTGATCGGCCTATTAGTGTTGAAATATAGCTGTCCCGTGTGAAAACGAAATGATAATGTAGTCTTGTCTTGTATGAATACTTGGTTTGATTTCGTTAGTAATAGAACTGACCATAACATAACAGCCATAGTAACAACGGGTTACTAGGGCTCCGGTTCAAAGCAGGACTAGAAACGGAGTGGGAGTCTAACATTCTCTCGCCTCATCTACCTACATCATAAAAAAGGACTCTTTTGCCAAACCTGCACGATTTCAGATCCCTACAACAGATCCGAACACTCGACGAATTAAGGCAGATTTTCAATACAGGAACTTTTTATAAGAAAAATCCCGCCAAAAAATTCCCCTTGCGCTACACTGTTGCTTGTTAATCGAGCAATTTAACTTTTTGTCATTTTTTATTTTTCAAAATAAACTTTATTTGCACTGAAATAGAGCTTGTTTTTGTTTCTACCGAATTCTGCTCAAATTGATCAGACAAGTTTGAACATGAACAAGCAAAGGATGAATACAAAAAAAAACAATGTATATTTTTTTATTGTCTATGCAATTATAGCCTATGACGAGAATACCAATGGCAGGAAAATAATATTATATAATTATAAATATTATTTTTCCTCCATTGTTTAGATTTGTTAGTATTTAACAATGTTGTGCTTGTAGTATCGAGAATTGCGGGACTAATTTTGATGCACTTTGGTTTGTTGAATTAACTAATAACAACTAAGTACCTAGATATTTAGTAGGTTAATAACAATAATTGTATTATGAAGAAATAAGTGTTTAATGATAAGGACAATAAAGGAACTTAATGGATTTGCCTACAGTTACATATAAGATACAGGGAAATCTCTAGGTATTATATTGATGCCTTAATACCTACGTCAGTTATTCTATTACGTATAATTATAACAATCTAGTTTAGTATGAATCTGCAGAACTAAATTACTAGCATTCAAAAAAACAATCAATACTAGTTTTTTAATTAATGAGCAATAATTGTACTCCATAGTCTAGTAACAGAATATTATTTTTATAAGTTATTACAATAAAGAGGATGATAATCTTTCAGCAGCAAACCTACTGGCCGGTAACATTGATATAATAGAGATTTAAAATTTAAAAATACTTTATGAAAATGGCCTCCAGAGACAATACTTAAATGTCGGACAGTGGGCTGGCCACCCACTTGCTAAACCAGGTAATAACTATATTTACTGTGTCATGGGCTATTTTAGTACATTTTGCGTACAATAATATGTAATATTATTATTCTATGATAGTATTATTCTCTGACTCAGACTGCCTCGTTGGCCGAGTGGTCGCAAGTGCGACTGCCGAGCAAGGGGTCTCGGGTTCGATTCCCGGGTCGGGCAAAGTATTACTGGGTTTTAAAAAAACTCAGTAGTCGCACGGAGTCTGGAATTGTGCCCGGTATATGGCAATAGGCTCACCCCCTATTACATGGGACTCGTAACATAAATAGTGAAAAGTGGGTGTTACATTGTACAGTGGCATAATGTGCACCTCTGCCTACCCCTTCGGGATAAATGGCGTGATGTTATGTATGTTATGTTATGTTATTATTCTCATCCACGTATTGTCTTCTAACTGTAATACTCAGAGTCGTTGAATGTCTACTGCAACTATTCCTTAGTAACGATTTTGTTCCAAAAACATTTGCTAAGGACTGGATTAAGTAGCCATTAAATGACACTGAATATGGCGGAAAGACTTCTACGTAGTCTTACAAAATAAGTGTATGGGGTATGGTGTATCATTAGAATTGATTAGAAAATTATTTTTTGACTCGATCCTTCATTCTTGAATCACAGCACAAGGCTGAGTAGTTGCTTTTTTCGAATGCTAGTGTGAGTTATATTATCTGTATCTCAAAGCATTAAATAACTCAATAGTTTTTCTTTCTTCTTTCTTTTTTTTATCACTGGAAAGTTTTAGGTAATGTAGGCTACTTTTCTTATTAGATTTTCTGTATACAGGACCTTTATAAGAGAAATCAAAATTCTATGTAGGTAAAACCATATTTTGTTTTACCCACATAGTATTGTTATTTAAACTGTCAAACACCAAGCGGTCACCGGTGACCGCAACCTATTGTTCTATAATTGTGTCTACAAAACCGGTACTCGACGAGTTAATATACTTAAATATAGAAGTGTTATACATAAAAGTGTTATATAAATAACACTGACTTTTAGCCTATTAATTTAGGATTACAGGTGTAACATTTTACAGGTGTAAAGTGGTCTACTTCTGAAGAATTTTCTTTCAATCCTAGTAATATAAATTACAGCTAACATATGTCGGTTCAAAAATAAATGATATTTTTTAACTAGTCATGAGTAATTGATTGTTATCAAATATATTACAACATCAAACAAATGTACCTATATTTATTTCATATCTGTGGCCATACAGTAATGACTCACTCTAGTTTTAATTTCATGTGATTGTATCAAAGTAAACAGTTTTATGAGATTGGTTATTAAATATTTATGTGTTTCATTACAATGTGATATAGTAAAATAAGAAATAAAATTGTGAATTGCTTGTGACTTTTGTGGATAAAATTATAGTTGTTGATTAGTACTAAAACCTTTTTAATGCAACCTTATGTGAAAACCAAAAAGGATAATGTTCCTGAAATCCTTTTTGGAGTCCTAAAATTATCAGCCAGCATCAAATTGATGATGTCAATAATTTTAAAAATAGAACGCTCCTCACATTAATGCATCGCGCAGAAGATTTTAATTGAATTAACCACATAATTACACATTTTTTCACACTTGACTAGAGAAAATTGTATGGCAGAATTAAATGATTTTATAGATAATACTCACATCCTCAAAAATAGATCCGACGTTGGCAGTCACAAGCAGCAATGGCACTTTATCGGAGCCCATTTTTTTGAACTTCAACATGTTCCTGAAGAGTTTTTATGTGAAAACAAATCCTCTAACACAAACGAGGTTACTATCAACACTACGTAAGTTTAAACGGCCTTATCGTAATTTGGCGCGCATACGCCTTCACTAAGAATACTGTTTATTACATTATTAAGTTTAATTATTACACTTTCCCGTTAAAAACGGAAGAATTTGTTCAGTGTAGTAAATTCACCCGAGTCGTCCCAGCCCTTTCTGACATTTGTATGAATGAATGACATTTGTACGCTCACATTTGCACGTATAAACAGCATATAACCTGAATAATTTACAATGTTTGACATTTTTGATTAAAGTTTACAAAAAAATAATTTTAATATAGCATAAAAATATAATCAAAGAACGAAAAAAATATAAGTATTACTATTCTGTTGAATATTTAGTTGAATTTGGTCATGAGATGATTTAAATTTGAAATTCTGAGTAAAGTGCAAGTATAACACGCGTAAAACGGAACGTATATTTCAAACTGAGTGACCTTCTCAATTTGGTCGGTTGCTGAACCAATGACGTCGATGCTAGTTTTACGTCACGCCTACTTTCAGGGCCGTATTTGTGTAAATAAATATGGGAAGAGGGTATTTAGACTCGAGAGGTCAAGAAATACGTAAATAGTGACGGTGACAGCGAAAATTAAGAAAATTTATTTTTATGTAGGTACTCGCTGCTCGAGGTAAATTATAAATATTCCCACGTTTAGTCGTTTAAATATTTCTATTGAAATTTATTACTTCACGTAATATTTTTACAGACAGTTGAATGTCGCATCAACATTATTAGCTCAATTATGTTTTGTAAGCGTGTTATTATAAATTGTAGTTTTTGGCATTGTATTGTGTCAATTATATTTGAAAAACATATTTTTCAATAATAATCATGAAAACTGTTGGCGTTTCACAGTTTGCTCAGTATAAAGTATTAGGAGCTGAAATAATAAACTAAATATATAGCAATACTTAATGAATAAAGTTCGTTATTTCCCGGTGCTTTCGTTTAAAAAATCATTTTCCCGCCCAAAACAGGCTTCCGGTCCTGAAATTCATCTCTGTCTGTTTTCGGGGCGTTCCTTCAAGCCGCACATGCGATCTATGTTCCGTCGGCGCTCGATGTAAACGGCTAAAATAGAAATCGATTGTTGTTTCTATTCCTGTGGATTTAGGTCGGGTTTATTCGAAATATCAGTGCTATGGCGATCCGATAAATAATAGGTAAGTGGTATTTATTTTATATTTGGCTATTAATCGTTTAACTGGGCCTCCAATCTTGGTTATTTTCCCATGCCGTGCTTCAATGGGAAGAATTCCATGCCGCTGCGGTAAAGAGGTTGGGAAAAATGTTAATTAATCTATGGTGTTGTTGGTAAACAATAATTAAGAATTTAGAGAATTGTTGTTTGTATTTGGCCCTGTGGTGGATTTCAAATACCTACATTTTGAACGTGGAATGCAATCAGTTAAAATTTTAGTTTCATTTGTTTATTTCGTCTGATTTCAAATCAGCTGTCTACACTTCATATGTATTGAAATGAAAATGTATTTTCTTTTGTTTATTATAATTTAACTTCCATTATTTTACTAAGCACATATTTTGTCTTCCTGATGAAATGACGCACAAAAAATAATTAAAATTCGTATGACATTGTATCTAATACAATGATATTTACGTAGAAATTTAAGTAAATAAATGAATTTCAACATTCCTCCCAAACCCACATGTAGTTACTTATGCACATAACAGGATAAGAATTTAAATACAAGCATATTTTATTTTATTTTTAAACTCGCAAGGACGTTTCCATCATTAATTTTAGTTATAAATGTACCTAAGATCAAATATTTTAAAATTAGGGAAATAGGTCGCGGAGACTGTTTTCCGTTTATATGATTGAAGGAACCCTTTTTATGTTGGGTAATTATTAACACATGGTTATAGTCAAGGAGCCAGCTGCATGACTCATCAATATAAAAAATCGGTGACTATCTTACAACTCATGAGTTTCCTCTGCATAGGAGGGTTTCGTATAATCTCCACGATTTCTTGTAGTTTGAGATTGCATTTATATGTTGTTGTTCATTGATCTTTTGTCGTGAAAATCCGACTAAGGGACAGTGATGTGATCGGTGACGGTGACCGTTCGCCTCGCCTCGCGGTTTAGGCCGCTGAACCAGACCCCAGCGTATGGTACGTCGCGTTCTGCGCGCCACTCAAAGAGCCATCAGACCAAGATAGATGGGGGGCCCAACAGGGCTGATGCCGATACGGAGCCGTGAAGGACTTAACGGGTTGCCGGGGCTCCGGTTCGGAGTGCAGGAGTAGGAACGGGGTGGTTTTTATTCAGTAAGAGTCTGACACTCCTTCTCACTTCACACGGGCAGGAAAAGTCAATGAAAGATTTTCCCCCATCAAAAAAAGTGCCTTAGTCTGTCAAGACACCTGCGAAGGGCATGGAGATGGTGGTAAATGTGTACATACTTCCCTTCCCGCTACCGTCGGTACAAACCACAAGCATGATGTTGCGTGTTTAAAACCTAAATTAATGAATAGAAGTCAATTGGTTTTACTAATGTACGGAGAAAAAATATATCGCGCGGGAAATCTGAAACAAACTACACTTATAAAATGATCGGTTGAATAAAGCGTGCTCAGTTGCTATTAATGCCCATTCCTCTTCGTATGACAAGGAGCAAGTAATTAAATGGAACTTATATCCTGTGCCTTTAGCCATACGCCACTTAAGCGCTTGTCTACAGAGAGAGTAGAAAACTAAATGTATGGGGATGGCACTGACAAATGTCAAAATTTACGTCAATCCCATATAATTTGGTTTTCTATTCTACAAGTAGACAAGCGCTAATAAGTGGCATTTGGCTACAACTGCTGTTTACTTATATACAAGGTTTTAGTCAAAGAGCCCGACTATTATACACGAATGTCATCGTTCGAATGTTTCTTTAAAGACACTGTTGCATAAATATTAGTGTGTGTGACATTTGAAGTGTATTTTATTATTTTGTAAATATTTGTATGGTTTATTCCTGGTTGAAGATCCAAAATAAATAAGAAGCGAACCGAATGCCAAACTTTAATCATAACACAATTTCACACTTTGTCATCCTGAAAGGAGTTTGCAGAGTAGCAGAATATTGACGGCAATGCATTAGTGACACAACATAGAGCCTAAGTTTTCTTTTTGGTGAACGAGCAGAAAGATCACCTGATGGGAAGCAATCGGCGTCGCCCGTGGACACCCGGAACACTAGAGGCGTTACAACTTGTAACGCCATGGGATGGGTCGTTGAAGGTTTTTCCGTCAACGAAAAGTTAACGTTGAATTGCGTTTGTCAACTAGTTGATCAACTAGTTAATTTCGTCAACGAGTTAACGTATTACGAACGTCAACTTGTATGAACGTTAAACGCCTAAACGCTTTTGTTAACGTATGCTCATATGCTGAATTGCTATTGTAATGTTAATTTACGAACAATTTGATGCAGTTTACCTAATGACATTTTTAACATTTTATGATGACTTTACCTACTACCTACCTAGGGTCCTAGATGATCTTCCCTTCATACTTTTTTCAGGCTTAGGACTGACTGATTAATCAATATACATAGTATAAAACAAAGTCGCTTTCGCTGTATGTCCGTATGTATGCTTAGATCTTTAAAACTACGCAACGGATTTTGATGCGGTTTTTTTTAATAGATAGAGTGATTCTTAAGGAAGGTTTGTATGTATATACATATTGCACCCGTGCGAAGCCGGGGCGGGTCGCTAGTTTGCTATAAAACACAAATTTCAGGCGTATTTAGAAGATCATCTGATTTTTATGTACATAAATCAATTATTATTTACAATTTTTATTTACATTATTTTGGCTTTTTATACTTTTTTTTTACTTTTTATGTTGTTTTTATAGAATTCGAATTTTATGAATGAATAATGTCATCGTTTACTTTTTTTTTAATAATGACACTGATCAAATTACTAAATAAATATAAACTACGTTATTTAGAGTTCAAATTCTTGTCATGACTATCGTGTCGTAGCGGGATTTTTATATTAGAAATACAATTTACGTACGTTAAAAATAACAAAACGTTGACCGTGTACAAATCAACTCATTCAATTCGTTAAACAATGAAATGAGTTGAATTCATAAACGTCGTTGTCTCGTAAATCGTTGAGTTGATTTGTAAACGGTTAACGTTAATTCCGTTGAAGAGACATTAACGTTGATTCAACTAGTTCGTTAATTCAACGCCCATCGCTAATTCGCCGGTAACACACTTGAAGTGTGTTACCGGCGATTTGGAGATTAGAAATTTGAGGATTATTGGAGATTCAGGTATTGGAGAGTTTGAGGAAGGAGGAGTGGGGGTAATTGGGCCTCCGGTAACCTCACACTCATTACGAAACAACGCAAACGTTGTTTCACGTCGGTTTTCTGAAAGGCTGTGGTATCACTCCAGTTGAGCCGGCCCATTCATGAAGAAGCATGGTTCTCCCGCGCTTAAAAATCAGGATCAGTGATTGCTTACCATCAGACGGCTCCTTGGCTATGTTACAGAGGTACTTTCATTTATTTATTTATTTATTTATTCCTTCTTCACAAATACATAAGTGAATGGCGGACTTAATGCCTTAAGGCATTCTCTTACAGTCAACCATAGGGAAGTGCAGAGAAATGAAGTGGTTGATGCGAAGCCAGAACACAATTGAGAAAATAAAAAAGAGTTATGTAATATGTATACTACACACATAAATAACCTATAGAATAAATATATTAATACAATATTTTATAAATCAGTATAGGACATATACATACCATATAATACATACTACTAAACAAATACTTATACCTACTGCATAAATACTACAATATATTATATATATATATATATAAAAAAAAAAGACGTTGTCAGAATAGTTTCCTCAATTGTTTTGAGTCTGCCAATGCTTAAGTAAATGCTCACGGACTTTAAATTTAAAGGAATTGCGACTTGTTGCCATTCTGATCTCCTTGGGCAATGCATTCCACAAAATAACAGCTTGAATGAAAAAGGAAGAATGAAAGAAGTCAGTGCGATGAGAGATACATTGAAGATGTCGATTTTGAGACGAACGAAGAAATTTTGTGTGGTTTGCGCACGTATATTGGAAGTAAGAAGCAAGGTAAATAGGTGAAGAAGGAGAGTCAAGATAAGAGAATAAAGAAAAAGAAAGAAAATAAATCATTTATATATAATTTTAAAAAGCTGCATTATTTAACGTCTGCACAAAACTCGGTAACAGGCGACTGTTCAATTATTTAAGCACCTTTTGAAATACAAGGTCAACTCACTGGTTCGCTGGAATGGGCGAGGGTTAGGGGCTCCGATTGTCAGTTGTTTTTTGTTACTTGCTAACGTTATATACGCAGGGAAAAACATGAATATTTTATCACATATGCATACATATAGGTACAAATGTAAAGCTTTCTTGGAAATCTTTCAATCTCACTTGTGATATGGTTCAAGATATATATGAGAAACAAACGTATCTTGATTTTGTGGATATTAAGGTATGAATGTTGAGGAAACGTTACGTCGTAGGCCGCTAGTCACGTCAACGTGGCCGCCTCCGTTCAACTCGCATGATGGTTTTTCGTGCTTATCGCAGATGCAGGACTCGACGCGTTAGTATGGGAGGTCCAGGCTTCTAAGCGTACTGGCGAGAAATCATTAGACTCAAACATAACGAAGTGCACTACTTCGATATCTTGTGACAGGCAATTTATGATGATGAATATGATAATACACGAGCTCCTAAGTATTTAATATCTTTTCCAGCATTCACAATGTACATCATAAGTTTGTTGGTGTGGGTGGCGGTGGGGGCACCAGGGTTGTCGGCACACCTGCATCATGCCGTGGAGACTGAGATGTTCGCCATACCCATCAGCCCTAATTTATTCAACTGGACCTATCAAGGTAAGTGAACCATGTTCAATTGTTCATGTATCTTCTTTTACAGACTTCGAAAAGGATTATGTTCAGCTGTTTTGTGTTTATTTTTTGTTTTTATGGAATAAGTCGGTAAATGAGCAGATGGATCATCTGATGGTAAGCAATCGGCGCCGCTCATGTACGCCCGAAACACCAGAGGTGCTACAATTGCGTTACCGGCTTTTTGGGAATTAGGAATTGATGTTGTTTATGATGATCACAGATATCTGCAATACATATTACAATTTACCCAGTGTACGACACTATTATGTATTGTGAGGACTGACCTAGAGGTATTTATTACATAACATAGCTGGCCAAATGTGGAGATTAGTCACATTCGAAGTGTCTACGTCTGCCTTATTCCTTTGGAGTTCAGGAGAAAGGTTATAGGTATGTTTGTAACATCAATAACCGATTGTGAACTGTATTTCCCTATTGTAGCAAAATATTATTTGTTGTGGAATGAGTGACAATTTTTTTTAACAAACGTTACTAGATTTTTCTCCTGTGTCATGGGTACGTTAACAAACATACGATTTCACATGCACATAACACCCAGACCCGAAATAGAAATAGGTATATACCTATGTGTGAACAAAGAGTTGCTCCGTGCGGGAATCGAATCCGGCACCCGTTTCACGGAAGTAACTTTAAACTAATATTTTTTCAATAGTCCCTGTAGAACTGCCTACTGTCGAATGGAATTTCGTGTGATAGCTAAAAATATTTAAACTAATATGTAATTCGAGGATTTTATTTAAGGATCTGCCTCTCTTGAGTTAGATCGTTATTAAATTGCAATAATGATGGGCCGCAATAAGGTAGTTAGGTATATAATTAAATGTATGAAATATTCGATAACAATGACGTCAATCATAATACATATTAATTAATTTACCTAATGGAAATGGTAAAATTAAGTTATTTATAAAACTAAAACCCGACTATAAATATCATAGGTCTCATTGCTGTAGAGCACATAATAATGGCATACGAACACGGCTAAAGAACGTCCTCAAATTCGTATATTATATTATATTTTTATCTGTGATATTGATATAATAGATTCTTAGAAGTAATTAACCAATAATAATGGCAGAGGTTTAACGAGGTTGTCTGCCTAAAGTATCGATACCCGATTATTTATAGACGTTACCTATCGATTTCCCAAATAATAAAGACAAAAACCTCGAAGATGGGACGCTACGTTTAGATAAGACGATTAAAATTAATAAATTTTCCATAACGACTTAATATTTAGGTCATTTATTTATAGACGTAGATTTTTTTCCACAGGTAGGGGAGTTATATAATTGAAGGAAAAATTTCCACTTATAAAGGTTTCCCGGCAACCAAATGTAATCTTTGTTCTCGTCTCTGGCTCTTGGACTAAGTGGGCCCACGTTGGGCGCCAGTTGAGAATTGACTTCGGTTATGTTAACATCGAGTATCGCCATTTTTTCGATAATGGCTCCGTAACTAAAGTGTTTAATTATCCATTAAAAGTTTGTGTGTATTATATCTATCTATCTATCTACATATCTATGAGTACATCTTGATCATCATTTTACTGACGTTTCAACATTAAAAGTTTCATTTAAAATCGTCCGTTTAAATTGAATTGTCGTTGATCAATAAAAGCTTCGCGAGTGTTCTAGAAAAAGGACTTTATTCCAATGTACGTTTTTAAAGAGGGGTCAGTCCTGTCTGTGTTATTCTTATTATTACGTTACCAACATCTAGCTTCGAGCAAATTAAAATGAAGTTTAGTAGTCTAGACAAGAAGGTCGAGATTTGAAATCCAGTTTTGCTTTTAGTACTTATCAGTGTGTGATTGACGTGTTGTGTCTGTGTGAGTGAAACCGAATACCACCCCAAACAGTTTGGTCTAGAACGTTCCCCTCTCCAGTTGGGCTAACATTTGGTATTGGAGAAACAACTTACTGTACTATAGTATTGGATCAAATGTTGGCTGAATTAAAGTTGTATTAAAAAGGGCTTCGAGAATGTTCTCCGGTAATGTTGGGCCAACTTGTTTCCGATGCAACATCGCGCATGTCCTGCGTCCTGGGCATTGCAGTTAGCTCCATCGATCATTCCTTCATTACTCAGCCTTGACGTTACACTATTTTATTGCGTCGTAAATTTTAGTTTATTATTTTTTTAAGTTTTGAATAAAATTAGTTGAAATGTAGTTCTTTAGTGTTGTGTGTTCGGGGGGCGGTGTTGCTGTGTCCGGTAAGTACTATATGGTATTAGATTATCGTTGATTTTTTATTTGTTTGTTTAAGTCATTAATGTTGATGACTAAAAGAGAATGGAATGATAGTTAGATGTGTAAAAATGGCAATGAATGGAAGACGTATTTTGTATGGAATAGGAGGCAAACGAGCAAACGCTAGACCAATCATCTGGTGGTATCGTGGTAAGAGATCAGCGCCGTCCATGGACACCCGCAACACCAGAGGAGACACAGCGTTGCCGGCTATTTAAAAAAGAATACGCTCTTTTCTGGAAAGTTTGAAGGTCCGTATCTCATAGGGAAAGGTGAAAGGTGTATTAATACAATCCTAGGATTTTAAGCGACTTTGTTATTATTAGGTATCTAGTTACTTTGTTAATATTCTTTTACAATGTGGCTATGCTAATGAAATTGCTAAGCTGTGGCGCATGAAAGTATTATTTCTGTTGTTCATTATTACGTATTGTTTAAAAATATGCGTAGGTAAATGCTATAGTATATTAGGTACCTCCATTTAATATATAACGCTACTAATTGAATGAATGGGGTTATTAGTTAGTTGCCGAGGTGTTCATCTTTCGTTCCTATATTGTATTAGCTTCAAACCGTGGCTTCGCCCAGCTTCCCATGGGATAAAAAGTACCCTATGTGTTAATCCAGACCATAATCTATCTCTGTTCCAAATTTCATCCCAATCCCTTCAGCAGTTTTGATGTAATTGAGTAACATACACACTAACACACCAACACACGAACTTTTGTATTTATAAAACAAACACAACATCACGCCTTTTACCCCCGAAGGGGTAAGCAGAGGTGCACATTACGGCACTTAATGCCACTGTACAATGTAACACCCACTTCTCACTATTTATGTTATGAGTCCGCCGATATACTATATACTATACTATCCGTATAGTATATCCGTGCTACTACTGATTATAATATTGGTAAGATAAGATTTTATTAGTTTTCCACCTGCAGTTCACCCGGTGTGATCAAAACTCGGGAACCATTCTACATATCTTTTTTTTAATCAAAGTCAAAGCATTTATTTCAATTAAACCATAATTTGGTACTTTTGAAACGTCAACAAATACAAAATAAATAATAGTCTGTCAGTCAGTCCGTCAGTGAAGCTAGGTGAAGCTAGGTGCTCATTCCACAATGTAGATTCGAATGGAGAATAACGAACAAGAAACTCCATTCGTTACTCTTTTTAAAAAAGTATGTTCTACAATGTCTCTGATACATATTCCAATACTGTACGTATATGTAAGAACACTGTAAAGACACGCTTGACGCATTATAGGTACTAATTACAAACCTTACTAAAAATAAAAAAAACTTATGGTCTAACATGGTGCTCACATATGCATACTGACAATCCATAAAAATAATGCTTCTATACCTACAAGAAAAAAGAAACTCTTTGTTTCAATAAAGAAAGAAATGCTCGATGCGATAAGGAAACTAGATTATCTATTAAATTATATCTATAATATTGCTATTGTCATTGCCATGGACCAACCCTTTTTAATCTGAATAAATAATCCTAAAACATGTATCACTAGGTAGGTACTTATTAGTACATTAATATCAAAGGACTTTCCCCTTTGCTTTCACCCTTCCTTTTGAAACACAAGGGGGAGCTGGCACGTTGCCATCTATGCCAAGTTTACGTCTGGGAGGTCAGACTAGCTTACTACCTACTTGGATAAATACAAAGTCTAGACAAATGACTATAATTTTTTACCGATATCATTTTTTAAAACGAATATGTTTTAGTATGCAGCTGTAGCCAAATGCGCTTGTCTACATGTAGAATTTTTTTTATTGTCATTGTCTACAAGTGTGGTAGAGCCATGCTTCGGCACGAATGGGCCGTTTCGACCGGAGTGATACCACAGCCTTACAGAAAACCGACGTGAAGCAACGCTTGCGTTGTATTTCGTCGTGTGAGTGAGGTTACCGGAGGCCCAATTACCCTCCCCTTCTCCAATCTCCCCAGTTCCTAAATCCCCAACGATCCTCAAACTCCTAATCCCCAAAAGGCCGATAACGTACTTGTAACGCCTCTGGTGCTCCAGGTGTCCATGGGCGACGTCGATTGCTTACCATCAGGTGATACGTATGCTCGTTTACCGGCTTATCCCATAAAAAAATAAGGGCGATATTACCATCCCTTGACAACGTAGTTAGCAACATAAACTACATACTACAAGTCAATCAAATTGCTGCACGTACCTATAAAATCAATAATCTTGCAATCACGGCGCATGATCTAGCACGCCTGAGGTAGATAGGGGGCGGGGGGTGCAACCCCCTTTATAGAGGGGTTAGGGGTGAAGGCTGAAAGGGGTTGTTAATTCGCTTGTGTCCGGTAACGTATTTTCCAAATGGATGTCGCTTATACAAGGTGTACCAAAAAATAGAACATCATAAAAATTAAGTATTATGGCAATATTTTTTGAATCACACTTATTTATAGAGATGGGGTGATTGACCAAAAATAAAAATGGACCAGCTAGGCTATTTTTTAACTAACAATTTGAACTTTCCAAGTAAGCTCGATTGCATTCTTACCCGTCATTGGTCGAGGCCCCGGCTTCGCACGGGTGGTATATGCATATATTATGCATAAAAACTTCCTTAAGAATCACTCTATCTATAAAAAAAAACTGCATCAAAAACCGTTGCGTAGTTTGAAAGATCTAAGCATACATAGGGACAGACAGACGGTGGATAGCGACTTTGTTTTACACTATGTAGTGATGACACGGCGGACCGCGATTGAGTTCACTTCGATCTTAAGTTGCAGAATAGCCTAGCAGAAATCGAACATTTTGGTTTAAAATAACCATTGGGTACGTTAACTGAATTGACAAATGAAATAAAAATTAAATTATTATAAGCCTAACTTTGTAAATACAGGCGTTCTATATTAACTCTTCTTTAATATTAAATAATATCTGTAGCATTTTCGATACACCTTGTCACCCCCTCTGTTGCATGGAGTGAGTTGTGAAGGGTGGCTTATAGAGGGTGGGGGGTGAGAGGGGACGGTGAAAGAGGGTGTTAATATCCGTGTATCGGTAAAACCGGACATTTTATGTAGTTTCTAGATAGATTTTATTTATCTAGCAGATGTATTGTAGCTTGTAGCAGATAAGTTGAAAACTGCTGTCATTGTCGGTACTTAGGTACTCAGGTGTGTATTGCAGTATATGCAGTTATTACATTTACCTTTTTGTGTAATAGACCATTCGTAATTAGGCATCCTAAATTAATTGTCTTCAAAATAAGAGAAAGCAATACTGATATCATATTAACTATGACTTAATGTTTATGATAATTCTTTATTTATAGCCGCTGTCCCTTGTCTAGGCAATTTCATCTTTACGCACAAGGCTAGATGTTGGTATTTGATTTTATGATCGAAAATAATACTTCTATGTTCATTTTTATTAATAAGGGATAAGATTGTTGTCTACAATAATGGACTCAAACTTTATTGAGATAGCAAATTGTTTCTAAGATTAACAAAGATTGGGTGTGCCACTTCTAATCGGTAGGAATAGAAAGAGTAAATAACTAAAAATCATTTAACATTTATTGGAAATTTTGTATGGATTTGTAACCTCTTAAGTTATTTTTAGCAAAGCTTTCTAAGTTGAGTGATATCTAAGATCGACGTGCCTACACAAATAAGGACCCATTATATGACCTTGTGGTACACCAATTTATTTTCGCAATCACCTAAATCTCTTCCTTTAAAAGTTCATTCTAGAATCAGTTCTAAAAACAACCCTTACGTAGTCCAATAAATAAACTACAAACATGGACTTGATTAAAAAATAGCAGCTAGATTGAAACGCAGCGAATCAAAAGTCTGCGTTGGGGTCGGGAGGGTTGGGATGGGTGGCCGGCTTCCATCCCTATCAAAGTACCTATATATCAAAATGTATGCTGTAAAATCAATAACCGTTGCATCTAGAGCGCATGTCCTAGATTACCTGAGTGTAACCGGGAGTCGCATTTAGGACGTCCTGAGCGATACTTGTTGCTCTATCGATTGTCCGTCACCGCGGTCCTCAGAGATTTATCTCAATTCATCTCAGTACTTTCGCATCTTAAATTATTCAAAGTTTTTGTTAAAATTGTGGACATGAGTGGATCAACGTTCGTGTTCCGTCGCCGACCTGATCAACGCCAAGTACGTATCCTTCCTGCTATTTGTTTCGTGATGATTGGTGATTAATTAATTTTATGAATATTTTTCAAATTCTGATATCAGTGATAGATTTATTTATTGGTTTTAGTGGAAATAATACTAGAAACGTTTTAGTTTCATCGCGGTGATTAATTAATTAAATTCTAAAATTCATATTTAAATAAATATATATGTTATCGATTTTTTGCGCGAGGATGGGCTTTTGTGATACTAGTGTCAAATCAATTAAATTATCACCTAGTGAAAATTAATTGAAACTAGAATCCTAGGAGTAAAATTGACGAGTAAAGGATGTGGAAATTTTCTTGGGCGTTTTCGGAAACTCGCAGATGCGTAGGCTGCAAACCAAGATGGCGCTTGCGTAGCAATCGATAAGCGTCGCGCAGTAGCGTCCACAACGCCTAACGCAACGGCGCATGCCCTAGGCTTTTAGGGCATGCATCGTGAGAACATCAAAATTGATTTAGTAGTTCTAGACTCTTCGAAACACAGCTCGCAAGAGGAAACAGTGGGGGCGGGGTCATTTTATAATGGACGGCATTTGAAACAAAGGAATGACATGCCTATGATTGAACAATTAGTATTGAATCGTTATCGTAGATTCTGAATATTCGTTTTAAAAGTGTTGTGTTAACGATTCTTGATTTTTTTAATCTCTTATAGACATATCATTTGTTAATATTACGTTAAAGCCACACCAAATATGGCGGCTAACCGCCATGAGGTGCACCTATTGCGCAGGTCTATGCGCAATTACGTAACAACCGAAGCCACGTATTGCATTCAAGTTCTTTGTTCTCAGATGAACTGAATTTTATATTAAAACTTGAGAATTGACACATGACAATGATGAATAATGAACTTATAAGCAAACTATAGGAAATTATAGTCGGGTTAGTTACCTACATCTTTGTATAATGGAGAAATACTTGATATTGATTTGGCCAAAATGGCGGAACGAATCGGTGTCTTCGATGGAGATAGAGACACGCCTATCCCTTTTTGTAAAATATTTTATGTAACTTTTTATATACTTATATATGTAGGTACTTACGATTACGAGTTATGTTATTTGTATCTAATCTTAGATGATGCACTTTATTTAGATACACAAGGCATGGAAGGACTTTTACTTCAAATTGAGAATTTAATGATCGAAAATTCCAGAAAATTCTTCCTCTTTTACAAAGAGTTCTTTGAAGCTTTCTCAATGACTGAAGATCTTTATTTGTTTGTCAGAGTTCGACCAGCAATACCGCTTCCACGCTGCCATGCTGGGCAAACCGGAGCTACCTGCGTGGCTTCATTATATCTACAGTGGACGACACCACTCAGGGTTCATCTTCGGAACGCCGCCGCGAGGGAGCCGAGGCTCCCTCCAGGTAAATACCAAATTTTTTACCTCATAATTCTTTCATGACCATTGTTAATTCCAGTGTTTTCAAGTCTTCAGTTGTTCTATCAACAGTGTAAAAGAAAATATATAACTGCGAGTGACAGCAGTTAGCGACTGTTTAGGTAAAACAATGGATGAGCAGTTGCTATGCAACTTATTATGAGTTCGATTCTAACATCATCTATGTTGGAATCGAACACGTAATGAAATTAAACTTGGAGGATTCAAAGATCAACGTTGTTAGTGTGAGCAACGTTTTTAGAGTCATCAATAGTAATCTTGGAATGAGCAAATAGCTTACTTTTAATTTTTTTTGTTGACTTTCAAAAGTGCCTTTCTGGTCAAATTGATATAAATGATTTTGACTTGACTTGACTTGACTAAAAGATTTTGTATGAATCTACCTAATAAGTCTTTCTGGTGTTACAGATCGAAGTAATCGGCTTAAATAGACAGGACTACGAGACGCGGCGGGTGTTACTGACGTTGGACATACAGCTGAAGGAGAAGATGGCACGCCATGAGGTCGAGCTCAAGATCGATAACCTGAATGTAGAAGATCTTTTGGATGAGCACAAGTAAGTAGAGATGTTCATTTATAAACAAGATTCTTTGAACGGTACCGAGACTCCAGTCAGTGGTCACAAATGAAGAAGAATAAGTAGGAATTACTAAAGCTATATACCTCATGCAGTTCAGGATGACCGGATCTTGGCAAGTAGAAAGTTTTTGGGCACTTGGTGGATCAAATGATAGTATAAATCAGCAACAATGGGAGTAAGTTTTTAATCTGTTTTATAGAAAAAAAAAAATTATATTCTTATAAAGAAGAAAAGAAAGAAGGTTAGCCAATTAGACTATAGAATTAGAATTTCCCAAAATGGGAAATTCTGATAGTGATTTTAATACCTTATTATTAAAAAACAATGTTACAAAATTCCAGGATGACCCGTTTGAAGGACATCTTGAGAACGAAGCTCTGGACGGAGAGCAGTGGCGATCTGTATGCGACCTTCCTGTCGTCTGCCATCGATCTCGGAGCTCGACTGCCTTTGAAGCCAAGTGATGGTGAAGGGTACGTACACGTTCATGTTCAGAATCTTTTTGTAACTAAACTGTTGTAGGCTTTATTAGTTCATGATTCTTATGCTCTTGATTCGGTTGTACTTACTCACCCAGCCGCCTTTTTATCCAGAGTAGGTTAATATGTTCTACTTCTATTCTTGTCCTTTCCCTTGAAATTAGAACATATTTGTTTCAAATACTGGAAGAATATAGAAGTATAAGTATTAGACATGTTTTACTGTTTCACGATTGACTTAGAAACGATCAAAAAGTTGAAGCTCTTTTACTCATAGCATTCAGTCTACGTTCTATAGTAAAGGTCTTCCAATGTACCTACTTTCATAGTTTACTGCTACTATACCTTCTCAAGCCATATGCTCTCTTTTCCAGGTTGGTAGTCCGCCTCGGCAGTTCCATGCCATTCTCGCTGGAGCTGAAGAGGCTACGCGAGGAGGTGCGCCCTCTGTCCCGTCTGCCCAGCTGTCCCCGAGAGTACAAGCGGACGACCGTTGAACGACTCTTCAGGGACGCTGGGCTGACGCTGGACTGGTGCAGTTTTGAACTGGTATGTATTGATTTTGTATAATGGAAATGAGTCGGCGATTGGCCATCATCTTGCCTGGCCAGAAACTCGGCATGAAACAATGCTAGCTGTTGTTTGTTTGTGTGAGTGTAATCACCAAAGCAGAGACCCAATTCCCTCTCCTCAAAAAATGCCTCTCTGGTGTCACGGGACTTCATTGATGGTACAGATAGCTTACCATCAAGTGAGTGTTGGTATCTGGTTGTTTGACTCCTATCCTCGAGTTTACGTATTAACATTAATGACCACGAGAATGCCAGACTTAAATTGATTTTTCTTCAATTCCAGTACAACACGATCTACAAGGAGCGCTCAACCCTTCACCTGGAATATTTGACTGAAGTGCCCAACACCAGTAAATCCGCCAAATCCTTCAAGGCTCTTGAAACCAAAGATATCTGGACTGCACCCAGCAAGGTATGTTTATATTTCTCTATGTACTCTGAAACTTTTCCGTTTTCCATCCTAGACGTTTTTTTCATTGCTTTTATAAAACTGCTCCAACTTGATTTAGGTACTTTGGTTGTTTAACTTTGACATTTTACCTTTACTTTGACATTTGATGTTGACTTAGGTATTGAATTTGATTTAAACATCGATGTTGATCTGTAATGATGTTTGACTTTAACTCTCAACTTTCATTTTTTCTCTGGCTTGAATTTTGACTTGATCACTCAAATATCAAAGTCGGTGACTAAAGTCAACTTTGTTGTTTTACTTTGACTTTTAACGTTGACTTTGACTTTGACATTTAATTCTTACTTTGACTTTTAATAGTTATTTTGACTCTTAATTTTAACAATGACTTAATTTTTAATTTTATCTCTGACTTTGACTTTACTCTCTGACTTTGACTCTGACTTTAACTGTCAACTTTGACAGTGACATTTGACTTTGATACAATCTTTGAATTGACCACAACATGTCGTGTTCCCGGGCAGGAGTCGGTCCCGTGCCGCAGCTACCGGCGCGTGGTGACGGGCGCGGTGCTGGCGCCGCTGGTGTTGTTGTTGCTGTGTGTGTCCGCGCTCACGGCCGCCGTCTGCGCGCTGCACGCCACCGTGTACGTATTGTTTACTAGCGCTCACGGCCGCCGTCTGCGCGCTGCACGCCACCGTGTACGTATTGTTTACTAGCGCTCACGGCCGCCGTCTGCGCGCTGCACGCCACCGTGTACGTATTGTTTACTAGCGCTCACGGCCGCCGTCTGCGCGCTGCACGCCACCGTGTACGTATTGTTTACTAGCGCTCACGGCCGCCGTCTGCGCGCTGCACGCCACCGTGTACGTATTGTTTACTAGCGCTCACGGCCGCCGTCTGCGCGCTGCACGCCACCGTGTACGTATTGTTTACTAGCGCTCACGGCCGCCGTCTGCGCGCTGCACGCCACCGTGTACGTATTGTTTACTAGCGCTCACGGCCGCCGTCTGCGCGCTGCACGCCACCGTGTACGTATTGTTTACTAGCGCTCACGGCCGCCGTCTGCGCGCTGCACGCCACCGTGTACGTATTGTTTACTAGCGCTCACGGCCGCCGTCTGCGCGCTGCACGCCACCGTGTACGTATTGTTTACTAGCGCTCACGGCCGCCGTCTGCGCGCTGCACGCCACCGTGTACGTATTGTTTACTAGCGCTCACGGCCGCCGTCTGCGCGCTGCACGCCACCGTGTACGTATTGTTTACTAGCGCTCACGGCCGCCGAGCCCCGGTAACCCGTTAAGTCATCAGCCCTATTTGGCCCCATTCGTGATGGTCTGATGGCTCTTTGAGGTCTCTTGCGACGGCTGGGGCGTGAGGAAGTTCGTTCCCTCACGCGCCCCGCCTCCTCCTTAGCTAGCATGGGGTTTAAAATGCATTTTTTTCGTGAGACAGGGAGGCAAACGTGCAGGTTACCTGGTGGTAAGCAATCGACGCCGCCCATCGACACGTGCAATACCAGAGGAATTGCTTAATCATAGCCACCCCTTAATTGGAATGAGGAATTTGAGGATAGGAGGGACACAAGGAAAGTGTTGTTGTATGTCACTTTCTGTGAAGCTGTTACCTCAGTCGAGCCAGCCCAATTGTGCTGAAGCACGGTTCTCCTACATGGAATTCGAAATCTGTAACTCAAAATCTTGTGATGGATGAATCTAATATCAATTTTAAATTTTCAGCCGAGATCCAGTATCAGATAATTTTCTGGATAATATATTCCACATCTGTATTGACTATAGAAATAGAAGGAGGTTCGATACTTTATGAAATTATATTTTACTAATAAATCGTTTGTGAAATTTTAATTACTAATTCTGTAATCTACATACTTGACGAAAGGCTTTAATTTTACATTGGCGTTTATGGAAATTAACCTACGTTACTCTTAGATCATAACAATTGATCCTAATAATAAAATGATTAATTACATCTAAAAAAAAAATGTTCATAATGAAACAACTAATAATAAATACTCATCATCACGCCTTTTATCCCCGTATGGGAAGGAAGAGGTGCACATTACGCCGCTTAATGCTTAACACCCACTTTGCACTATTTATATTATGAGTCCCATGTAATAGGGGGTGAGCCTATTGTCATATACCGAGCACAATTCCAGACTCCGTACTACTACTGAGATTTTTTTTTTAAAACCCATTTGTATTTTGCTTGACCCGGGAATTTAACCTATAACCTTTTGTCCGGCAGTCGCAAGTTGCGACCACTCGGCTAACGAGACAGTCAGAGATCGATAATAAACTACAGTAACCAAGAAATCTAATAACCGTCATTGAAAAAGAAAATGCGTACAATAACCACAAATGAGAAACCATTGACGTCCCAAAGATAATAGAGCAATAAAATATTTCCAGGGCCCACAAGTCAAAAGTGGAAATGTGTCGTTATGGCACTGGCAACACCGAGCAGACACAGGTAGCTGACAACACTAGCACCAAGAGCCTTGGAGCGAGGTCAGTATCTGTATTGAGTTAATAGTGTAATATAATAGGTACTGTTGTTTACGCTGCCTGTCAACGCTGGGGATTATGGTAAACTCAGAATAGACATTTCTATGGCTAGTGCCTACTATGGAACGAGATATCTTTTTGGGGGGGAAAATTATCGAATGACTGCTCCGGCCTGGGTGAGGCGGGAGAGAGTGTCAGACTGATTAAAAACCACCCCGTTCCTACTCCTGCACGAAGTGCAAGACGTCGAAAATTTCAAAAACATTGTTCTCCCTTGACTCATTAACAGAATCCGTCGCAACTATTTTGCATCTTAAAAAGTCTTCAAAATCAATTCTACCTTTTTGAAATACTGATAAACTATCTCCTTTATTACAGCCCCAACAACAGTCTTGCACGTCCTTACAGTCCAAAATCGACGACAAACCTGGCTGGCAACTACAACCGCCCGCAACCACCGCCCTATATGGGTTCAGCGACCAATTCTCTACACCATCGGAAATCAACCGACAGAACCCCATCAACCAGTGGCCATACTCCTGAACACCGCACCCATCTACTCGAAGAATCGCTAAAACTGCTAAACGAAGCGAAAATCGACAGTTTATCGATTAAAGATCCGATAATCGATTTGAACGATGGCACTGAAGATTATGTTCCGATTAAACCTGATGCTTCTGGCTACGTGTCAATGAAAGATTTGGATGACATTGATGTTCCCGATCTGGCTAAGTTTGGCATCGCTGGGCCCATATGACATGAGGTAATGGCGGGAGAACCGCCCGTTAAAACATGGTTTTGTTAATCCACCGTGCGAAAACGCATTTTTTTTGTTTTTTTTGCAGTTGAGTTATTTAGTCGTGTTCTAAAAATACAAAAGTAAAGAATTTTCTTTTTCTGGAAATTAAGCACACACTCTGAAACGAAAACAAAAAAAATATTTTTTTAAAAAGGTGTCAATAACATTTAAGGCAAATAGTTAAATAGTTTTACCTACCGTAAAATGTTGAGTACAATCTAATGAGTGGAAGGTTGTCTGATAATATTTGTAGTAATAATTAAATACAATACTTATATATCACGAAAGTAAATCTATACCAAAAAAAGAGAAAAGGATTAAAAAATTGATTAATTTTGCACAAAAAATCACACAATGAAATTGAACAGTGAATTTGGAATGATATTACAAATTTTAATAACATACTACCCATTACCAAGACATAAAAATTACATTGAAAGCAAATAAAAAATTTGCAATACCTATGTACCAAAATATTTCTTGCGTCTACCACCTGCCTTGACATCAGTACAATAGAGTTGAAAATCAATGGACTTGACTATCAAAGTTTGCAAGTAACCTTTACAAAGTTATTAAAATTTCTAATATCATTTCAATTGGAATATGGACATCACAAATATACATCTTTGGCGTAATTTTCAGACAATTCAATAATTTCTGCACTTAGTTGTAATTTAGTATTAATTAATGATATTATTATACCTATGACGATATTACTCAGTGATATTTTATAACTTATTTTTTAAATTTACATCAAACTTATTTTTTATAACATTTTTTTTTATTTTTTTTTTATTTTCGTTATTAATTTAAATTATTTTAAGTATATTATGTTTATTTTTCAATAAATATTATTTTTTATGTTTTTTGTTTTAATTTTATTACCTATATTTTTATTTGGAATATGAAGAACATGAAAAAATTAAGTACGCTTTTTGACATCTGGCAGAGCTGCAGTTTATCATGTGGGTATAAAAATATATCTAATAGGTAATGATAGATATAAGTTAAGAACTTGTACATATAACAAAATAAAGTTGAAATGATCGAATAAACTAGGCTCTTAGGTAATAAGTTACTTTAAGTTAGGTAGTTTAGATAGTAAGTAGTAGGTACATAATTATAATCTGCAGAGTTTTATTAATGTGTAAGCAAAACAAAAAAAACACAAAACTAAACAAAAAGTAAAAAAAAAACAAAAGAAAACTTTACAAAAAATTAAAAAAAAAACAAAAAATCACACTAAAATGTAAAAAAAAAACAAAAAATCGGAAAAATATAGAACTTACGTAATAGTCATAGCTGTGCGTATTAAAAAAAATATTACATATATTAAGAAAAAAATTTCGAAAAATTAGTATTTAATGATTAAAGTTCTATCAATGGTATTTCAAGTTAAGTTAGATATTAGAGAATAATGCTGTTAAAGGATGGAAGGAATATCATTACTTGGATTCCTTCATGATAAAGTAGCCAATGCTTACCAACGACGTCTTCTCATACTAAGAAGGTTCGAGCATTAATCATCGACCTTGCTTAAGACTGGTTGGCGATTTCAAACTTATAATTAGAAATGATGAATTCTTCACGATATGTCTAAGTAATCCGAAGTTACGTAATTATGTAACTTAGATTAACCGTCTGCGGCTGATGTGTAGTCCCACAGACACCGCGAAATACAAAATCACGTGTTATACCGTCATTTTTCAAATACGAGCATCACTGCTGCGAGTACCTTACTGTATAGTGCTCGCTATACTTTAATTCTACAAAAATATTTGCTGTTGAAATGGTGTCTGGTATAATATACACCTCAGTTGAATTGTAACAATTTAACCACGTCAGTTGCCGAGGGTTAAACTGTCAAACACCAAGTGGTCACCGGTGACCGCAACCTATTGTTCTATAATTGTGTCTACAAAACCGGTACTCGACGAGTTAAAACACAGTCAACAATTCTTATATCTTGTCTTCTTGTGACTCTTCTGATGTCCATGGGCAGCGCTACCATGCTATTTTGAGAGTAAAAGTTAAATTCACCTAGAAAGTCAAACTTAAAAATAAAAGACACAGTTAAAATATCACAAAGACACTGGCAGTATAGTCGACAAGATCGTTTTGGAGACTCGTTTGCCAAAGAAGAGAAATAAAAAAAAAAATATCAAAACATCAAAACACAAAATGTCAAAATACTCACGTGGCGTAATTCTTCTCTTCCATCACCACCTGGTGGCGCTAGTATCGCATTTAATATTCAAAACTTGAATCTCATCGGGGATTCAGAAGTGACTTTGCAAAATTAACTTTCAAAGATCACTCACCGTCATTGGGTGCAAGTCCTTCACTCTTCATGCACAAAAACTGACGTAAAATTCTGTAACTATACCTAATACAAGTCATGATGTAGTTTCCATCCTTTAAATAGCATTTAATAGAATAGCATAATTGTATGTATCTAGTAAGGACAGGTCCATGTGGCATCATACGGTGAGCAACCAAAGATAGGTAAGAAAATCTCAGATCATGCTGTACATATAACCATGATCTTTTTAAGTTAGAATAATTAGAGAATAAGAAATTCTATTTTTCTAAATAGGTAAGTTAGGATAACAAACGACATGTGCGGTCATATTATGAAGAAAGAATACAATATTTAATCTCCTTGATGCCTGTATTCAACTGCTAAATTTCAAAAAGAATTTTAATAGAACGAAAGAAAAATTTATTTGCACATATTGCACCAAAATACATAAGCATAAATGGTAAGATCAAAAAAGCAATAGAATATAACAACGAAAAAAGAAAAATAATCATTCAACACTACTAGAATTTTCTTCATGGGCGGGACTGATAGCTCACTATCAAGCAATTTGACAGCTGGTTTCATCGTCTCTCGCAAAAAATAGAAATAAGAAAACGTATTTTGAAATCAATCAAAATTCTACGTAAAGTATCAGTACCCTGTCATCCAATAATAATCAATAGAAAAAGAATAACAAAACAGATATGAAAGGAATTAAATTGAAAACATACAGAAAAGATAAAAGAAAAGAGAAGTTAATCAAGTTAACTATAAAACTTGCAAATCAAAATGGCTTCATACTGAAACTTTATAATAAAAAAGCTATTGATTGTACCCAAACGAAAAAACAGGGAAACAAAATCTTAGACGTCATGAAAAATAAAATAGTTTTAACTATTAACATCATTCTGAGGCTTCATAATGTGACTGAATATGTATAGAAATAATAAAGGATAAGAAACAGCATGGGCGATAAAATTAATTAAGAAATTATATTTTTATATTAAAAATAAGCTACTTATAGATTAATTATAAGTTAGATTAACAAGACTCATATTTAGTCTCAATACGTGAAATGGGCGTCTTTTAACAAGTCTCGTATATACAATGATGTAAATCAACACAAGACAATAGTTGACATATATATGTAGAAAATGGCAGCTATAATTTTTCGAGTCTTACGTAAAATTACTCCAATAATTGGTACCTTACATACACATACGTCACATTACCGCTTACCACCAGGCGAATTGGCGTTAAGTTGGGTCATATTGAATACTGCAATAATCGTTAATGAACACACTATTTTATGTTATATTTTAAATCTAAAATATCAGAAATTTTTAATACCTACGCTAATATTCAAAAGTAACGGAAAAATTAAATACATACATAATCACAGGCAGCTTACGCGTGAGCGACGAACTCGACGTGACGCGACGCTGCGAACGCGGCGAACGCGATCAACTCAACGGCATACCCTCCATGCGGCCTATATGACAGTCTGCGGCGAGACGCGATGTAACTCGCACTTGTTTTGAGCGCGACTAGATGCGACAACACGAACTATAATATTTGCAAGCAAAATTGTACTGAACTTCTCCATGATTCGAGAAGTAATGACCAAAATAACGTAGGACATTTGTCGCGTATAGCATCGCGTCGCATTACGTCGCGCCGTGTTGCGTCGCGTCGCGTCGCTCACGCAGGACACCGCGTTAGAGAATCACACATGCAGTTAGTAATAAAGAATTGGTCGGTCCACCCCTTTTAGTTGTTAATTGTAATAATGTTAACACATTTCAAAATTTCGACTCAATATTGCTAGCTTTATACAACGTAAAATTCAAAATTACAATTATTTGAAACCTATGAATATAAATTCAAACCCATGAATATAAAACAATGTGGCTGCAACTTTTTGTGTGATGAACTAATTGTTGTTTCCATATAAAAAAAAATAAAACAATGTTACCGATTACAGTTGTTAAAAACATTTTAGCAATTAATTGAAAATATAGATATAACTACTAGCGGATCCAACAGACCTTGTCCTGCATATCCACTTGAATGTATAAACAAAAATTCATTCAAATTAGTTCAGCTGTTTAGGATAAATAACCTAAACATCGACTGCAGCGCCACCTGCCGGGCTGATTTGTGAATCTAAACTATTCCCAGATCCCCTTGAACACACACAAAAAATTTCATCAAAATCGGTCCAGTCGTTTGAGAGAATTTCAGTGACATATACACTCACAAAAGAATGATATATATAAAGATTGACATTTTGACTCGTATTGTTACTATAATATGAACATTTAAGACCTATGCAATGAGCTATAATGTTGTACATATAAAAAAACAATGACATACTAATCAAAATCTAACTATACAAGCTACTGGATCACGATGTATATATAGCCGTGGTCTGAATAAGTTAGTATAATAATTAGACAATAAGAAATTATATTTTTCTACATAGATAATAAACTAAAGATAATTAAAATAAGTAACAATTAAGTATTCATAAGTTAGACTAAAGAATAATATGTAAAGCGATAGTAGAAATGATTCGTCAGTTCATTACCCACCTTTTAACTTAGTTAACTTTTAACTTTGTTTAGTATAAAATCCAAATCAATAAACATATAAGAAAACACATTACAATCAAAGTCATAGTCACAGATAAAGTTAGTTAAAGTCGAAATCAATGTGTCAAAGTCAAATTCACAGACAAAGGCAGTAAAAGTCTCAAGTCAAATTCACAGTCAACGTAAAACAAAAGTCAAATTTTACAAATTTACTTCATAGTTACATACCAATTATCTGTCAAAAAATATTAAAATATAATAATGTAAACAGCGACTATCCAAACAAAATATCCTCAAACGTAGAGACGTTGATAGAGATCAAGCATAACAAAGAAAATTTCAATTTCAACATTTACCAAAAAAATCCATAGTAAATAACAATTACATTCTCAATTTCACTGAACATAAAGTTTATCAAACGATTAAATTAACAAAACAAAGAAACCAAACATAATAAAAATTCAAACCCCTTGCAATGTAGGTATAACAAGATAACAAATAATAACAATCCATTTCCTAATATGGCTTTATATAAAAGCCCTGTACATTAAAACAAAAAAGACACCCAAGAACTCCTATAATAACGGCATGGAAGTAACATAGTTAAGCTGAAATATGAAACATTGGCAATATACATATAGTTTAGGCAAATGTTTAGAATAAGTTAGTTATAGTTCGTACTCTATTTGGCAAAGTTAAAAACAATGTTTTAATTATTTATGAACAACAATCTTTAGATACTAACTTCGGCCAATGACTTCGCCCGCGTTTCTATAGGAATGCGTTATTCCACATCATAATCTACCCTGTTCCGAATTGTATCTCGATTCCGTCAGCCGTTTTGACGTGA